CCCCCCCCCCCCCCCGCGAATTATGGAGTCTTTCGCGTTTGGCGTAGTCGAAAAATACAATAACAATATGGGTAAAAAAAAGATGTAAACTATTTGAAAAATTATCCTAAAACTGATATTTACGTACCCGAGTAATGAAGTAACTAATAAATCAAAAAAAAAAAAATCCAGAAAAAGTGTATTTGATAATACAACATTAATATAAATGCCCGTAAGTAAAACGGCTCATAAAAACACTAAATATGATAATTAGAGAACGGATTCATATGAACTTAAAATCAATGAAAAAGCGCTTAACAACGTCAACAAAGCCTGAAAAATCACTTAATAAACTTTAAAGGGCAATAAAGATAGAGGGGTTTGAAATTCGCCCAACGTAGAACCATTAAAGGAGGGACTTTTACTTTTATAAATATTTTGAAGTTCTTTTTTTACGGTTTAAGCGCTTCTTCGCTGTTTGCGAGTGCATGTATAAATTCGTTGCCTAATGACTATTGATAGCATAACAACAATTTTCGCGGTCGCGTATTCACGTGGTATCACCATTTGATCTATTTCGTGGCATCACAATCCCCATTTATAAGCGGTGACTATCATTTGTACGAACGACGGTAAAAAGACGTTTCCGGAAACCCGACCGGGTCGGGAATATTCGCAAATTGCACACGAAATAAAACAATACCCGACGTGGTTGCGCATAAAAAAATCATAGTTTATTTTCGATTAGCGAGGGGTGGGTGCACAATGATAGTATTGCAACCCCACAAAATGTTAAGGGCGCACAAGTGCACCACCCATTTCACCTCCCGAGATTGCGGTCCATGGTCACATGCAGTACAGGCAACACATAATCAGTAAACAAAAAAACAAAACGTGATTACGTTTTTTTTAATGAAATGAGTGAAAAGGAACAAAAGGTTTAAATACAAGTTTCTTGATCCGTTCGTAGGTAATCACGTGAATATATTTTTAATTCGTTTAATTAGTTATTACGAGAATGGGGTTTTCATTTCATTACCAAAATATTTAGGAAAAACCGAAGAAGAAACGCATACGCGGTTTTTTCTTTTTAAATAGACAACGAAAAAGCAGCCAAAGCGAGCGCGTCGTCGTCAGAAATCGACATATCCAATGGGCTACTCATCAAAAGACCACCCCCTCCCCTCATCACAAAAACACTTGAAATTTTCGTTTTATATCCACGATATAGCTTTCGATAATATTCTGTACATTTTCGCCGGAAAAAAAAAAGGGCGATCGAGGAGACGATTTGCTGCACAGCCCGTTTGTCAGGGTGGCTGCGAGAAGCGTTGAGGGAGGGGGGCGCTGTAACACGTCGTTCTGAAACAGAAAATGCGCGTAATGCACAGAAACCGATGTACGAAAATATCACGGCGATTTCGGTTGCCGACGGTGAATTGTTGTGCCCGGGCCCATTATCAACGTAAATAAAAAAGGAACGTAAATCGGTTAGCGTGTAAATACAACACCAACAAGCGCATTCGTCCGGTTCGGCTTTCTAGCGTTCCGTCCACATCACTGGGCAAAACGAATCGGGCAGAAGACGCGAACGCCGAAATCGCCGTCGGCTAGAACGGAAGTGAACGGTTTCAAAATTAAAATTTATATTCTCCGATCTGTCACATCCGAAATGCGATCGAACCGGACTGAACAGATCCAACGGGTCCGCTCCTTGAAAAATGACGCGTTCCAGATATTATCATTACACGGTGGGCGGGGTTCGGTTTCGTTTTTTTTTTTCTTTTCACAACCAGTAATTTATGGAAATTGCCGGTCTCCTGCGATCATTTCTCGCCGAGTTTAAAAAACAAACGAATAAAATCGGTTTTCACCGGAAACACGGCACGAAACATTCCCGTTTCTTTCACTCCGCTAATGAGAAAAACACACGGAATTTTTCAAAGAACGGCCTTCTCGACGCGCAAACTAAATCCGGAATGTTGCGACCCGTATAAACTGTGTGTTTAAAACACTAGGTTCGAAAACCTTTTTTTCAAAAAAAAAAAAACTTGCCGCTCCGTTCAAAATCGAAAACAACAACACGTATGGATATACTTGCCTTTCGACGGCGTCCGTGTACACGGCGGACGAGGCGATCGGCGGCGGCGGTTCCGGTTTCTTTTGTTTCCGCGGCGGGACGGGCGGCGGGGCCTTGGCCACCAGCCGGCCGTCGATCATGTGCAGCTTGACGACCAGCCCGGACTCTTTTAGGTACCGGACGCAATCGTCCCGGCTCAGCTTGTTGACCGGCCGGCCGTTGATCCGGACGATCTCGTCGCCGGCGCTCAGCGGCCCCCATGACGCCTCGGTCCGGGACGCCGGGCTGCCGTCGGCGCACGACTGGACGAACAGGCGGTTGCACGTGTCCACGCCGTCGAACCGCAGCCCGAAGCCCAGCCGTTCGCCGGGCAGACGGTAGACGAGCACTTCTTCGGGGTCCGCGCCGCCGTCCGCGGCAACGGCGTCCGCCGCAGGCCCGTCGCCGATGGACAGCACGGTGACGAACGAATCTTCTTCGGAGGCGGCCCGCTGATGGACGCCGCCGGCGGTACAGGTCTCGCCGCCGCCGCCGTCCACCGAGACGACGGTCACGAAGTCTTTCACGGCCACGGCGGCGGCCGCCGCTGTTGCCGTAACGCTCATCGTTACCGCGGTATAGTTGTGGTGTACGGTCGTTCTGCGGGAAAAAAAAAACAAAAACCGGTTATAAATATGTATGTTACACGTATATTGTACATTATAATATACCGTTAGGCGAGCCCACGGTATAGTATACAGGGCGATTCATTTATCGCGGACCAACGGTTATCGACGAAAATGTCCCAAGTAAATCCGATTCGGGTTATCGTCGTAAACACACACACACACGAGAAACGGTGTGGTTTTTACGCGATTTCGTCCTCACCGTCCGCATACCGTAAACAAATAATATTTCCATCGACTTTTGGCTACTCGAATGGCTAACCCGCGGTTACACAAAAACGGAATGTTCGTCTGAAAATGTATTAACGCTGTCCGAATATAACCAAACCGAACGAACTTCGTTTAAAAGAGATTCGAGTTTGAAACATCCGCGGGGTTTCCGCGTTACGCGAATATTCCGGGAGTTATTGATTTGGCGTATTATTTAAATGAAAAAAAAAAAAAAAAAAGTCCAAAAAACGAAATCGCACATTTTGTTTGCATATATATTTATGATTATTTGATTTTTTTCGAATACAAATCCAGGCCACATACATCGAGTATAATAAAAGTTTTAATGATTTAATTTATACGTTAATAGCAACGATAAATCATTGAAATAAAAACAAAACGATTCTGAGCCAAATAATATTTGTCGCGTTTATTTATCCTTGTAGTCACGATAAGACAGTAATACATAAAAACTAAACGGATATTTGACATTCGTAGTTAGGTTTTTTTTAAAAATGTTTTAGAAAAACTGTTGGGAATTTGAAAATATTGTCGTACAATAAGGCGCTTCCGAGCCAATAAATACTCATCTTTCAAAATGATACGGGGAATAAATTGGAGCGTTTCACTAACGAAAAAACCATAGAGCGCAATTTTCTCGAAAAAGTAATGAAAATTTCGAAAAAATGTTGAAATTGGAAAGTTATTTTTTGTCCTTTTAATGACAAACTAATAATAGACTTTTCCACTTGTCTATTACCCAATACCCATTTAAGAGAAACAAGTACATTTTTACGGACAAATACGATGTATTATGATCGGAACGCTAGACAAAAATATGTAAATTGGATGGGACGGATTTTGATTTTGGGAATATTTGAATTATTCGATTTCCGGTATGTTTTGCAGGGAACATTTGTTCGGTTGTTTTAATTTGTTTATTTAAACATGATTAGTTATTTTTTTTTTACATAATTAAACTCGTACTTCAGCGTCACAAGAAAAATACATTTTTTCCAGTAAAACGTAAATAAAAAAAAAAAAAAGTATGCTAATTCAAATCTTTTTTCAAAATAGAAATCGGACTACCTAATGAAAGTATATGTTTTTTTAATTACTAATTATCGGCAAAAAACGTATGAAAAACCGAACAGCTAAATATTAACCCGCCCCGCCTTGACGTGTCTGTTTTTATTTTTCGAGTTCGTCACTATAAACATGAACATTATGCAACACTACCGTTAGGTTAGGTTTCGTTGGATGTCCAATATCTCTACGGGGTCGGCACGCCTCTCGGGATTAAGGTCGACGTTTTCGAGAAAAATCGAATTTACCGTTTCCGGTGTCCGGAGAAAACTAGAAAAATTGATTGCAGTATTGCGCTAAAAAAAAAAAAAAATAAAAAATAAATTTTACAACAGTGCGCCGTTTTGCAGTTGAAACTATCAAAATTAAAGATACCGCCGTTAGATTTAATGCCTGTCGATTTCATGGTACAATTTTATCTGTACGGCTGTAGCCGGAATAGTGTAGTGCGAGTGGGTGGGTGCGGCGCTCGATCAAAACCCGGATCGCAAATATGTACGGTGGATAACGATCGCCGGTCCGTGACGAAAAGCGTCACCCTGTACAATGTTACGCGCGTACGGCAAAACGCGGCGGCACCGGGCGAGCAGCGTTCGTCGCGGACCGCGGTTTCGCGGAGCGATAAAATCGTTAACGGATTCAGAACGCGCGCAGCGGAAACACGTTAATCCGGGGACGGCGACTACGGCGCGGTATCCGAGCGCGCCCGCCTCAGCGGCGTTTCGGCGCCCGCCCGTAGTTTTCGCGAACGCGCCCGAGAAGTGAACTTCCGCCGGCCGTGCGAAAAGCCGAGCGAAAGTGATGCGACGCGACGTGGCGTGACGGTCGTCGTCCGGCGAAGACGACAATCGCCCGTGTTAATTATTGCGATTGCCGCCGACCGTCGTCCGCGCGCGCCGTCATGTTTTGTAAACGCGCGCGCGCACGCGACACGACGCGACACGCGAGAGAGACGCTGCGTTCGGCCCGTTCACGAAAACCTAATTTGTCGTTTATAATTACGGTTGCAATTGCGTTTTGTTTCGCGCGGGCGGCCCGGCCGTCGTTGTTTACTTTCGTATTTTCGACGCGGCGAGCGCCGTACCGGAAAGTCGTACACATGAAAATGTTCTTCTTGTTCGATAAATATTCATTATTAAGCATCACGTTATAACAGCACGGTGCCGAATTCATTCGTCCGACAACCGTTTAAGCAGAAATAACTCCGCGCCGTTAGTTTTAATAATTTACTTATTATCAAACTTACAGGTAGGATAATTATCAGCCGTGTGGTCGTTTTTTTTTTTTGTAATTTTAATTTTTTGAACGAAATACAAGCAATTTTAAATCGCGATATTTTACACATTCGTATTTCGCTTAAAAATTACAAAAAAAAACCGACCGGTTTTTTAATAAGACGAAGACAGCGCCGCGTCATGCGGGTATAACGTTCTTTTCAACGCGAATTGAACGTCTGGAATAATTATGGTTACAAATTACGAAACAGGTTACAAAATATAATAATAATTTCGACCATTTCGGTAACTAATTATACACCAGTTAAGAGTTATTCTGGACCGCGGGTGACCGACCCAGTCCCCCGGAGGTACGTACCAGACGACACAACCGTACAATGAGTACTATATTTACGCGTTATTGACGGTCTCGTCGTTCTCGGACCCGACACTCCGGTCCTTGTACGGGGATACGGTGGTTCGCGTATTTTTTCCAAACGTTTTTTTTTTTTTTTCTCCGTTCTTAATACCCAGACGTCCCGACGTGCGGCCGCTTTTAACGCCGGCTCGGCGGACGAAACAACAGCGGCCCCGGAATACCGTAGCGCGCGCGTGGCGCGTATTACAAGTTTCGCGTGTGGTTTTCGAACCACAATCGCGCGCCCAGGCCCGAGGCGAACCGAGACGATTTCACCGCGTAATTCCTTCTTTTTTTTTTTTTTTCTTTCTGCTTATAATTCGACGTCTATACACATGCGTATTTTCGACTGGAAATACGCGCCTAATCGAATATATTACACACACACACGAGTGTAATGCTCGTGCGCGTATAATACCGCGCACACGTTGTTATAACAACACGAATATATAATGACACGCGCGCGCGTGACGCGATTTATATTTTTCACTTCACGCCGCCGACCGCCGGGCGGCGGAGTTTCGCGCCGGCCGTTCTGTTTCGGCGTCACGCGCGTTTCTTCGTCGTTTGGCAATTTGCGTTAACGCGCGAGGTTTTCGCCCGGTGTCCCGAGAGAAATCGGCAGCAAGGCGCGCGCCACACCCGCCCCCTTCGGATCCCGCCGACCGGAAGCGGGGTGGGGGGGGGGTAACGCGTATACGGGCGGCGTGGTCATCCGCGGGGTTTACGGCCGTCCCAACAATGCGGGTCCCGTTCGAAACGGCGGCCCGCGAAAAAAGAAGAGACAACAGAACGCGACGGAAATTGATTAATTATTATCATAAGCGCGTCGAGCGGACGTGGTCGTGGTGGTCGTCGTCGTCGTCAATCGCCGGCTGAACGCCGCGCGGCCCCGGTATTTTATACGAAATATTTGTTCAAATGTTTTACCGGAAATATCGTTTTCGAAATTTCCGCCGGCGGATCCACCGCAGCCGCGTAGAGCGGATACAACGGAATATTGTTCGGAAAATAAAAAATAAAAATACGCTCGAAAGGACGTCACGACCACCGAGTTTCTGTTTTCGTAACGAGCTACCTCGAGATATTATACCGTCCGACAACACGGGAATAAGTTTTGGACGAAAACAAAACGTAAAATGTCTTCTGGAGACAACGTTTTAAAATTGACGTTTTTAATTCAACGAAGGCCATTCAAAATATTGCGCTTCGCTGAAAATTACAACAATACATAGTGTTTGAATCACTGTCTTGACAGATTATCAAAATCTAATGGATATATTGTTTGAAAAGTCGTGCGTCGAAACTATAGCTCCCAGGCTGAAATGCCCTAAACAACTATTGCTCTTGAATTGATCTTAAAATGGACAAACAGAAGAGACACCAAAATAAAAGATTATTTTCGAAGTACCATCTGTTACGAATCCGGGGGTATCTATAGATATAATATAAAAGAACGCTACGCATCATGCAATTGTAGTGTCTATCTTACAAACTCACGACATTGGAAATTCGCATTCGACAGGTCAAATGTTGAAATGTCAAATGTCAAATGCGCTTTTAATGTTAATATTCCGATAATTCGTATTTTATCAAGATGTAAGCATTTTAAAACTGTGATAATTCACGCGCTCATATTTCGCTTAAAAATTAAAATTACGAGAAAAACACATAATTGACGTACAAACATCGACAATGCTTCTATCCTTCGAGTTTGATCATATTACATGGGTCAATCAATTCATTCCCACATAAAAAACTAACAGCCCGAAATCGGTCCTGCTGCAGAAAGCGAATTCGCCATGTCCGGTAAAATATACAAATTTATCTGAATAATAAAAAAAAAAAGTAATAGGTACCGTGAATTATTAAAATTATTTATGCAAGACGCAGAATAATGCGTATATATGCTTCGAAAAAAAAATACATATACAGGGCGATCAATCTTTCATAAAACACTCATTATCTCTGAAAATATTTAATTTTTGTAAATTTGTTTTAAATTATTTTTG